GGCGAGCCTCTCATGTAACGCGGGACGTGGTGTAGCGAGCCTCTCATGTAACGCGTGACGTGGTGACGATGTTGAGCAATTTCTGTAACGCGTATAACGCGGCTTGCGTATTCTTCAGTAACCGAAATGACAGTTACTTGATCCAAACAGCGATGCACCCCTTGATCCATGTGTGGGTCATCCTGACTCACTTTGGCCGTACAGAAGGACGTAGCAGTGCTGCGTCGGCTCTCTGCTCGAGCTCTGAGTAAAACGTGTATCACTATTTGAAAAATATAACCCATTCGTTTTTATGAGTGTAGCCCTCTTGTAATTTGACTAATTTCACGTTATTTGTTCTCCTCTTCGTTTCCTTCATCGTTGGTGTGATGTTCGGAAAGCAAAGCAGTAATTACCTTATAAGCTTTTCGAAATTCGGAATTTCGGATTGAGGTTTTGACTTGATGCCTTGATCATAAAGTCGTGCAATTTTCATCATTTGGATGTAAACTAGTGAAGCTCTTCAGTGTAATTACAGCGAGCGTTCGTGTGGAACTCGTAAGTGTGTTGTGCTCCGTAAGCGTTGTTGATTGAGATCATTGCTGTGATGAGAATTTCTTTTACGAGCCCTCATCATAATGATATTGTTCTTCATGTGACTTGACATGCTGAAAGATTTTCTCCTCATCATGGAACACGATAAAGCAGGCCTAAATTTATCGTTGACCACTATATTGTGTTCAAAGGATACTTAAGTAAACATTTTGATTAATTGAATCTATAAATTTATTATATTATTGCTTGGTGCCTCTAATTAGTTTAGTTTTTGCATCGCTCTGATGGAGTAACGCTCTATGTCTGTGTCTGCATGACCAAGTAAATCTGTAGCGAGAATTAAATCTGTAGCTCTGATTTATCTCTGAGTTCATTATAGAGCCTTTCATGTTCGTTAATATTTCTGTTGGAAAAATGATTGACCAGAAAAGTATTCGTGCACAGTTTCTACAGCGGATGGAAACCAACTCGGCAATATCAGCTTGTAAATGCATTAGTAGTTTTTTCGTCATTTTTTCAACCATTAAAAATTAATTCAAACTGCCGATGATCGTTTGGCTTACACTTTTTAGGTCATCTACCGAGCAAAAAAACTGTTATATATGATTTTCTGAATGTATATACAACTATCAGTGTCAAGAACACGAAAACCCGTTTGCTTGAAAATTATCATAGCCTAGAATAGACTATGTTTAATTTTATTTTTAATGAGAACTGTACTAATCGTTTTAAGCATATGAGTCCTGCTTGAGGTTCATTGTAGTATAGGATCTAGTTTTCTTCATGCTATAATTATAAGTACATAAAACGTTAACCTACGGCATTCAGCTCTTGCTTTTTCTTTTGTAGGTTTATTGAAGGTAGACTTAGTGATCATGTACATTTACATTTTCATTTCATTAGGTTTGTATACTTGTATTTCCTGCTAGTCAGTTAATTGGGTATTCCGTGCAAGATTCCCTATTTGGTCTATCTATTATTTATACTTATGTGTATGCGTCATTTTTTCCCAGTGGACTAGTATTAAATCAGTACAACAATAGCTCATCTTTATCCTATCTCTACTCATTACCCTTGCCAGTACAATATAGGATCAACGTGTTGAAGGGACTACATTGTACTACAATGACACACGAATGCTACCTGTAGAAGGTGCGTTTACCTCCTTCAACCCCTCGGTTCCAATATGCATCAAAAATTGTCTCCCTCGCCATGCACTGAGTAAGGCAAGACTCTAGTGCCAGTGTTCATATACAGTGACACGCAAAAGTATTGGATACATTACAGTTTTCTTTATGTTCAGTTCTTTATTCTTTTATGTTCAGATTTGAAATGCCTAGCACCATATCGAACCCGGTGGAAGTCTAGTAGCTACTTCAAACTATCGTCAGTCCTGAAAAGATCCGGTTAAATGACACGATTTTAGATCTTCTGTGAACAAGGCAAGAAAATAAAAAGAATCGGCCGGCGACAGGCCACATCAGGCCTACATTTCAGCGCCGAGATCAATATGTTATGTTATATCTCAAGTTAAAGTGCAAGATTTTACCTGAAAATTGGCCAGTATATTGATAATGGTACTATGAGCATTATATAGAAAGGATATTGAAAAGTAAGCAGTGTTTAGAGTTTATTCAACAAAATAAAAAATTAACCCACGCAAAAGTATTGAGTACATGTTCAAAACGGAACACAAATAACTGTTAAGGTACTCAAAATTCGCTTTTCACGTTAGACGTTCCACTAATCTCATATCGTTATCTAATTGGCCAATCAGAGCAGTTTGCCATCGTCTACAAGATTTTGTGTTCCGGTGAAGATGTTATTCAGCTTCATCTTTAAAATTTAATTAAGAATGGCGAAAACTCTAGAGTTAGCGACAGATTTGCGTCAAAAGATCATAGATTGTCACAAGAAAGGGAAAGGGTATCGAATAATATCCAAAAGAGACTGATCTATCATAAAGTACTGTTGGAAATATCAATTGTCAATACTCCTGATAATATCATCCGAGCATGCATGCTTCAAACCTTGCAATACCTGATCGTCCAACGAAACTAACAGACGGTAATGCAAGGTGGATTAGCAGAAAGGTATAAAAGAACTCGTTTGTTACTCGTGATGAAATTAAAAGTGACCTGGAGGAAGGTGGGATTGATGTAGAAAAAGTCACAATCAGCAGAGTTCTAAATCGTACTGGTCTTATGTCAAGATCCTCACGAAAGGTTTCTCTGTTGAAGTACTGACACGTGAAAGCCCGTCTGAATTATATTAAAACATACGTGGAGAAACCACAAGAATTGGGAAATAGAACAAATTTCTGGGCGACGAAACGAAAATAGAACTTTTCAGAATTCGATCGAATCTTGACATACTAACAGTACGATCTAGAGCTCTGCTGATTCTGTCCTTTTCTACATCAATCCCACCTTTCTCCAGGTCGCTTTTAATTTCACCACGAATAACAAACGGGTTCTTCTGTACCTTTCTGCTAATCCACTTTGCTTTACCTTCTGTTAGTTTCCTTGGTCGACCATGCAGGTCTTGGCAGGTTTTCAACAGCATGCTCGGATAATATCATCAGGATGATTGCTTCCTGATGATATTTCCAACGGTACTTAAAAAGATAGATCAAGCTCCTTGGATATTATTCGATACCCCTTCCCTTTCTTGTGACAATCTATGAACTATTGACGCAAATCTGTCGCCAACGGTCGAATTTCAGCTTTTTTTTAATTAAATTTTAAAGACGAAGCTTCACCGGAATACAAAATCTTGTAAACAATGGCAAACTGCTCTGATTGGCCAATTAGATAACGATATGAGATTAGTGGAACGTCCAAAGTGAAAAGCGAATTTTGAGTGCCTCAAAAAAGTTATTTTTGTTCATTTTTGAACATGTACCCAATACTTTTGTGTGGGTTAATTTTCCATTTTGTTGAATAAAATCTAAACACGGCTAACTTTTCAATATCCTTTCTATATAATGTTCATATTACCATTAGCAATATACTGACCAAATACTAGTTAAAATCTCGCACGTTAACTTGAGATATAAATAAAACTGTTCTGTATCCATACTTTTGCGTGTCACTGTAATTCTCGCCAGGCCTTTTACCTGTAGCAGTAGCGAATCACGGCATCAGTCTCATTGTGGTTCAGATTTTTGTTAAACGAATATCATCATCGGAATATGAACATGCATGGTTGAACTAGTTTTATAGTTCAACCATGATGAACATGCACTTCGTCACAAACAAATTATGTTCCTAATGTTCTTAACTCAATCGACAATTTTACGGACCCGCTTAGCTGCGGACTCGCGCAACTGGGCCGCTCATAATTCCTTCAATACTTAACGGATCTGCATAAATTTTGAAATGTGAGTATTAATTATCGATACGCTGCCGCAGGAATTATTACAGATTTTTACATGACTTATTATTGGGTTAGCCTGTTAGGTTAGGTTAGGTTAAGTTAGGTTAGGTTAGGTTAGGAAATAATTCATGCAAAAATCTGTAATAATTACTGCGGCAGCGTATCGATAATTAATACTCACATTCCAAAATTCATGCAGATCCGTTAAGTATTGAAGGAATTATGAGCGGCCCAGTTGCTTAATTCCTGCGGCAGCGTATCGATAATTAATACTCACATTCCAAAATTCATGCAGATCCGTTAAGTATTGAAGGAATTATGAGCGGCCCAGTTGCGCGAGTCCGCAGGCGAGTCCGCTGGCGAGTCCGTAGAATTGTCGAGCGAGTATGTTCTTACTAATATCAGGGCATAAAATTTCTTCATAAGTGCTCCAACTGGAATAATGTGTGAATTATTTCAACTCTTCATATAAAAGCAATGGCTTTAATAGAAGTAACTTATGCCCAAAGAAAGCCTACTTGGGTGAAATTAATTTTCAATATAGGCTGAATGGTCGATCGAGTGTATAATTTACCACAATACTATTCAGATCTGAAAGCCCGAGCAATAGTTTTACCATCAACAGACAAAATTTAGTAAATGGCATCCGATGTTGGTACTGCAATGGCGCGCATATGCAATCTGCAGGAGATGCGGTTGCCTCGTTTGGTTGGCGGATTAGCGGACGGTCGGAGCAGGCGGGCGTCAGTCGTCAGAGCCTCAGAGCAATGGTAGCAGTGGTGTAGTATGGTGCGCGGTGCTGCGGTGCTGGCTGCGCGGTGCGGTCCAGTATAATTATACCCACCAGTGATGTGGCTTGGAGTGGACTACTATCTTTCCTATAGTGGAGGAAGATTTTCACCAAGCGAATAGTGACTTTTATTTAGAAGAATGCAACTTTTGCTGAATTTTTTTATATGGCCTGAAATTTTTTGTGCAAAATACTGCGATATAAACCCAATAAGACAATGTGATAAAGCGCAGTTCTCAACTGTTGCTTGAATGCGGGCTGTTCGTTTATAACATGTTTTTTTTTAATTTCAGAGTGATTTTCGAGTTTTATCATTGTTTAGTTTACATCTGAATTGCCCAAGTTCGATTGATTAGCCAGCGTCTTGCTAATTTTTGACGGTTTACCAACTATTGGTTCAACTGATTGAATTAGAAGTTCGGTGGATGAATATATGAACTGTAGTAAGTAAGTGGGTGCCGTGCGCTACCCACTCGTGACCTTCCTGCCCGCCTCCTCAGACCAGGTGAGTTGTGTGCCACCGTCCCTTCTGGAAAAACTCGCCTATCCCAGGCGGGAGCAACTGCCCACGTATACTCTAAGTCAAGACAATATTTCGCTGTCACCTTGGGAAAAACTCATCAACACGTTACCAATACTTCGCTGTCTCCCAGCAAATACCTCAACATCTAACCAATACTTCGCTGTGATCTAGCAAATACTTCGCCGTCTCCTAACTAATACTTCTTTTCCAATGACTATGGGTCACTCACTCGTCACATAGCGATTACCTTTTCAACACCTAGCATTAGCAAATACCTCGCCAATATCTTATCGTCGATACAGAGCATCTATCTCGTGCACATCTAGACTTACAATATCTCTTCACATCATCAAATGACCAATCTCTCTGCTGTATGTAGCACTAGTTGGTCAAATATCTCGGCCACGGCTAGCCCACAATTACGCTTATCCAAAGAGTGATCACCAACTTAATTTAAACGTTCATACTCATAGTTTCTATGAAAATAGAGACCCTATCTTAGATGCTCTCTAAACTGAACTACTCCTTTTCGTTCACTCGCTTTGAGTGCCGAATTGTCAGTTCACTGTACAGTGCTTTTTTAGCAATTAAGCATCTCACTATTCCTTTGATAAACCAACAGGCGACGACATCACGCCCAGACATCTTTAGGGCGCTAGTTAGCTCTTCATTGTTTGTTGCGCATTGATGGTGCCAGCCTGCCAGGTTAAGTCACCTTAACTCTCTGGCTCTGTTCCTTGTAGCGCTAGTTAGCTCTTCATTGTTTGTAGTGCATTGACGGTGCCAGGTTAACACCTTAATTTCCTTGCTCTTCCCGTGTTATCGGTGAATGCTAGTCACGTTGGAGTGACGCCCACGAGTCGCTCCTTGGCCATGGCGCTGCATTTTGGTCCCTTGGTTAGACTTGATCTTTCCTTCTCGTCGTATCCTTAACTTTTTACTGCTCTTGTGATCGCAATTGTATTCCGCCATTGGAGGGTGGAGTATCAGGTAGGAATATTTATGTTGAAGATTTCAGGGTTGAAGTTATCAATAATGAATTTTAACTGAATAAAACCTAAAGTTGCTTCCTAATCGGGGGCAATTTCCCCTCGAACTAAATATTTCTTGTGTCAAAAGTAGCGTATAAGAATATTAGCATGAATCCCGACCTGCAAAACGTATTTATTGAATTTCACTGGGCTGCAGCTAGAGGTTAATTCGCGTTACAATCGTTCCGTGATAATAATTGAGCACGCTATTTACCTAACCCTTGCTTGGCCTTGAGAATCGCTGAACTTAATTTGGATTTGGAAGATTTCCAGCGCACAGCCACAACTGCACAGTTACAGTGTGTTTGTATTTTTATAATAGGAATCAAGGTTATGTGTTCCCTTTCTGTTTCATTGTCCAGTTTGAGTATTAAATTCCAATGAGGAGACGTCGCCGAGTTCTAATCTAGTACTACATATTTTCCTGTATCCAGAGATGGAAATGCAGCAGCGCAGCGGTTTCTTTCTTTAGTGATTTGCAGACGAACTATGTGAAAAATAAAGAAAGATAAATTTATAGGTATTTTATATGCTAACTTTTTAAATATTTACCTAACTATATGCTAATTTTAACTATGCAATCCTCATCTATTATTAACCCCCCGAAATTCTGCTTAGAGAACAGTGTTGGAAAGTGCTTCAGTAGTATGATGATTTCAAGTGGCCGACCACGTACACTCTTAGCTAATACACTCGCTGTCAGCTGACGATTACTTGGAAATTATGTGCGGGGAATAATGAAGGAAATACTTGAGTATGACGATTTCGAGTGGCTGCCACGAATACCCTTAGCTATTACTTCGCTGTCATCTGGCAAATACCTGGAAGTTCTGCTCCGGAGTGGCGACATCGTCGTAGGGAGAGCAGAGCCATCTGAGCCCATTATGGCGACCAGCTGCGCAGGTGGAGGTGATCGCTATCGCGACCGCCAAGGCTGCGCCATCTGCTCGGGGCGATTCTCTCTTCCCCGTCTCCGCGCGGCGGGTGAATTCTCAGACAATTGCTCTGTCATTTCAACTCCAAACTTGCGTTATTTTGGAATTTTTTTCAGTTTCTTCAGGTAGGTCGTCTTTAAAATTCATTATGTATTACCCTTGATGGTATTACTTCTATTGTTTCATGGATAAGAAATAAAATTTTTAGACAATCATCGGTTTTTTTTTCAACTTTAATTTTTAAGATGTTGAATTTATTTTCGGGCACGATCTCAAAATATACCCTGAATATTACACTTGACCAATAACTCAAGGACTAAGTAGCATACTGTACTCTACCTGCAATGTCTAATTGTTGTAATACAATTTTCTAATTGTTGAAAGAAAGATCTAATCTACAGCGCCAGCTGCTCCTTATTTGTTTACGGAAGGGAATCTGTATGTTGAGTATTGAATCATGTACATTTTGTTGCTGCAGATCATCGAACACATTTGTATGTAATTTTGAACTTTCGCTGGGGTACCGCAGAATTTTCTCTTTCACTTGCGTGGCGTAGTATCGCATTCACGAGCAGCAGTCAAGCGTAGTAATCTAAACCTGCGTACCAGCGAAACTTCTGGCGATGATCGCCCTTCCCTCCCGCTCTCCGTAAGATGGACCCGATACTCATTTCGTTCACGAGTTGTAAAAATCTCCCATGTGAGTTGCTGGAGTCAGAAGCGCTTGACACGTTAGCAATTCATCAAGAGGTTGCAATGGAAGGTTCGCTATTTTAATTTCTGACTGTGATTTCTGTCATTGTAAAAGTCATACTGTTATTTTTAACAGACATTTTAAGATTTAATTCTTTTGATTTAGGAGATTTTAGTGCTCATAATTTCTGCTTAGATAGTCCCTAGTTGTTGATCACTTCAAAATGTTCAGCGTGCCAACTAGCGGTCATTTCGCTTGGAACTCGCTAAATTTATTTGCATTAGGAACTTCTAAAACGGACACGCCCATACTTCTACAAACCGAAAATATTCCTCAATAAGTAGACACCGCTTAAGCTAGAGACTGAATAATTTAGTCCCGAACTTGAATGCATTTCTACTGTTTTGTTTTATCCTGTTGAGTAGAGGTTAAATGTTGAAAGCGCACAGATAGGTTCAATTGCCTCCGTCATATCATTTAATTTCGCTCGGTGTTTATCGCATTAATAAGGGATGTAAAAAGTCGAATAAAGATATGTGATATTTCTATGAACGCCTCGATAATTCTATTGAACTTTCGTTAAAATTTGAAAAAACTGCGTATTTTGCTCAATAAGAGCCTTGTTTGGCTGAATATTTTTAAAGCTATAAGCAGTTATTATTTACAACCGAAAGTTTTGTTATCGAACTTTAAGTCCATTCTTTACTATACGCAGCTATTCATCAAACAGTAGGTTGATTATAAGCATAATTTATAACCTCTTTGCAATACCGGGGGCATAATATAAGTAGGTGTCCAGTATAGTATATACTATATGCGATTAAGTTACTGCTGCTGAACCACACCGTTCTTATTGTGCCTATAACGTCTTGTGTATCCTATTACTGTAAATTGTAGAGCGAGATCTTCAGGTTTAGAAACGTCACCGCGCATTCCTTTAGTGTTTCTTACTATTAAGATTTTTCTCGCGGTGGGTGCGCATTCATTGTGTCTGCTCTGGTCCGTGTCGTATTCTAAAAGCTCAAACGGGACCTTTAGGTCGCACTTTGCATTGAGTTGCACGGCGAGCGTGAGATGACGAATTGTTGTCGTAGTCACGTTTTCTTCTGTTTATCGGACCTCACTACCAGGGCACAGTTTCTGTCACCTCTTCTTGCTGTGTCCTATAAGTAACGGTAGCCAGAGTCAATGGGTTTACTTGGGAAATTTGACAGTTTGCATCATAAAATTCTATACATTGCTTGATTGCGAAAATACGGCTGTACCTTTGAAGCCAGAATTTGTAGACGAAGAGACGAACTAATTTATTGAAGCTTTGTTGTACCTTGACGGGGAGAAATTAATATGTAAAACTTGGAGATCCATTTAACATTAGTATTTCACAACGAATCAAATTTTCGTTCAGCATCCTAGGCGTTTTTATCCATGATGATCTATTGTAACAAATCCATTAATCTTAGACGTAACTTATACGTTCTCCGTAATGTTTGCGCTTCCTCTGACAAGATAAACAAGCAATACTGTGGGGAAATCCTTATTTCCAACGATTTCAACTCTTTTGGAATAGTGTGCTTGCTGTGCAGAACTTTGTTGACTCAGAACCATCCATCTCACCCTAAATCATTGTTGGTCTTGTCTACTTTGAGGTCACTAACATGACGGCGGGCTGATGTTAAGTGTGGCTCTAGTCCTTGGGTGACGATAGCTTATACGAGGACTTGTTTACTTATAAGGAACTAAAGAGAGCGCTTGCTGCCCAAGCTGATCGCTGCACGAGGTCACTTTAGACATGGCATGTGATCGGCCGTCCTCTTACGATAATTTGAATTGCGTTGAAACTTAAACTAGAATTTAGTCACACAACTTCTGTTGAAATGAAAGAGGTGCAAGATTTTTGTTTTTGTACTCATTCAAAGTGGACATTACTCGCACATATACTGTAATTATAAGCGATTGATTAAATGTTCCCAATATTTATCGTTTTCTCTTGAATAACATATAATGAATGCATACCTACAGAGTGAGCTACCTGGTGCTGTCTATTTTACTGTTTTTGCACATAGTTCAATTTAAGTGGCACACAAGCGCCTTTATTCGCTGCGATTCCTGCAATTAAGGCGCACCTTATTTACGGAATCCATTTAAGATCTACTAATATCTTGTTGTTCCCGGGACCGAAAATACCTTGTGATGTATCGATGCCAATTATAGTTCTTACGCCAATGATAGTTCAAGTCACGAAAAATACAAAAATCGGCAACAGGCCATGGGCCTATTTCTCCAGTGCTGACACTTCTATTCTATTCGATTCTATTCATAGAA